TTCCTCAGGAGATATGCCATCTGGCAACAACAGGAGAGCCTCCAGGCTTCGAAGAGTTACCAGCTGAATTCCAACTACAATCCCATCATTGTCATAAGGGGCCTCAGTTCATGCCGGGTGAGTTTGCTTACTGTTTCACGTCTCCTTCCTTGGTTGGTGCGCGTTTTCATTACTAATGAGCAAAAAACCTAGGCATTATGTCGCGTTTGTACGAAAGCTCCTACCGAGGATCGGAGACACCGCAATGGGTCCTGTTTAACGATGAGAAGGTCGTTGAGGCGAGCGATGTGGAGGAAATGAAGCAATTTGCATATGTCTACTTTTTCAGGATGCTCTAGATTTTCCCCTTTGCCCAATAACTATTTGTGAGTCGAGTTCCTGTGCAAGTAGACTCGGTTGCAATATACCGAATGCTACCTGAATGATTTAATGAAGTATTGACTCGTCTTATCCCTGATGTTTGAGACTATCGATTCCACAAATGTTTGATAAATGAACATGGGTAACGTTGCGGGCATCATACACAAAAATGGCTTTGATGAAATACGAAGTGCAACCAAAGCTGAAAATCAGTTTTTCTCCAATTCTAACCCTGGCAGGTATCTCAACAACATGTACATGTACATAGAAGGACTTGATATTCAAGTGAAAAAGGGTTATACATGCAAAGTCTTAAATTCTGTTGACGACACAACACCAGCCACATTCCACCCTTGATTAAAATACGCACAAATGGAACAGGTAAAACTACCCCCGCCAATAACCAACACAAAATAGGAAATAGTGGTTATATGTAGAGTTAGTGCAATGCAAGGTAAAGAAAGGGAAAAGGAAAAAAAAAATCAGTGAAATGGAGAAAAGTATCATCATATCCCCTCAACATCAGTGGCCACCAGGATTATTATTACCTTCGCGAACAGGTGTTGAAAACCGTCCTGCCGTCTCACTAATAATCCAAGAGAACCACTCGTCAAGCTTTCCCTTCTCGACATATGTGCGTAGCAAATCAGCCTCTGCATCCAGCTCCTGAAGGTAGCTAATCTGTTGATCCGGAGGCATGCCTGCATGGGACATTGAAGGGAAAATGTTTGATACAAGAATACGCGAGGGGGTGTAAGATTGGCGGGTCAGGCGAACATCCTCGCCAAGTACTGTGTTGTGAGGCATTGGGCGTTAGTTTTAAAACAACTCAAAATAGTATATAGATACAGCCTTTGTAAAGAACGGACAGGAGAAGAAAGAAAAGAATCCTACCTTCAGCAAGCTGTCTCATAGTCTCTGCTAACGCCGTTGCGTGAACCTTCGACTCAACCTCTCTATCCCCCTTCTTCTCTGTCCGATTGATAGCCTCCCAATTATCACGAATCATACAACGACGCCAGATGAGCCTTTCCAAACCGTCGCGATACTCGTGCGCTTGCTGGTCCTGATGATGGAAATTTCCCATCTTGAGAACGGTGAGTGCGAAGAAAAATTCATGCCCGCCAATGCTATCTTCCTCTTCTCCACCTTCAAGGAACCGAACGGGATCCATCAACGTCAGCAGATTGATGAGTTCCTCTGGCTCCATTGGTGATCTGGTAACGAGTTTGGCGAGGCAACGCTGGAGAAGGGCACGGAGAGCTGGCTTGCCGCGCACGACGTTGTTTCCAAACTGTTCGGTGGCGAGTTGGAGAGCGGCCCCGTCATCGATAGCACCATGTAGTGTTGGGAGGACATGTTCGTAGATCAATTCTTGAATGTTACATGTTTCCATAAGCTGGTCGAACGGCCTTACAGCGTCGTGCAGGCTTGCTGGCGCAGAGCCTGCCTTTTCGAATTCTGCTAGTTTGGCTAATTTGGCAAGCGATATTTCGACGCGCTTGCTCCAGATGTCGGTTTCTTGTTCAATCGCTAAGCGCTGCAGGGTCGTGCATGCGGTTTTATAATCACGCTCCCCAACAATATCATTGATCCAGCTCAGTTTTGAATACGCTGGGTGGCTTCGTAAAAATTTCGTAACCGCTCCCTGGTACTCCTGCATTATGAATAGCGTTTCTGGCTGGCCGACGGTGATGTGTCTGGTAAAGAAAGCATCAGCCCAGGCGTCACCAAATCGTTCGAAATAATTGTCAATTCTCCGTTTCCAGGCTTTCGTTCCTTCATCGAGTACTGGGCTATCGTCCTCTGATCGTCTTGGTGGCCTCTGCTCTTTTATTTGCTCGTGCAAGTCGACCATAAGTTCCACCAACGCATCCATATCTCGGAAGGATTCCGCAAGGGTAATTGCATCTTCCAGCAAGCCAATCGCTGCCAGTTTAAACAACTGTGGTTTGCGATTCTCCACATGCGATTTCTCAAGCATTTTCCCACTACTCTGGATCTCCGAGTCATTCTGCGCTGCACACCACATAGTCCGCTCTTTGTGTAGCAATGCAAATGCACGGAATTGCCTGGGGATATTTTCTTTGATAGTGTCGAGAACCTTGCTGGTTCTCGTAGTCGATGAATCTGATCCAGTAGCTGCAGTTGTAGCAGGGTAACGTCGACAGATGTTGAGTTCCAGATCCAAGAGCTGTTCGGTTTCTGAATAATTGATTTGCGTTGACGTCCAAAACTCAGGTAAAGCACTATACTGTGCCACGATAGCTGCATCGTCGTCCATAAATCCTTCGCCTACTCCGTATAGGGCGGCACTATCCTCTCGGAATTGAAAGGCTGTTTCCAGTGCAGCCAATGACAAATCACAAGCCTCGCAAACCCTCTCCGCAAATTGCCTGTCAATCGCACGCGACGTATTGCTATCTTCTTTCCGAAGCCCGTTTAGGATCCACGGGATGATGTATTCCATTCTCCACGTATCATGAATAAACCAATGCCGCACAATATCGGTTTCGCCGCTTCCTGGCTCAATTTTCGTTTTGTGATTGTCTCCCATTTTTGAAATAATGAAGTCGAGATGCGTCCGATTGCTGGTAGGATGCTCTTCGTTTCCCTGTTGTACCTTCCATATAGCTCGTTGAGCTGCCATTTTTTCTGCTCCCCACAAGAGCTTCCACCTCGTCAAAGGAGAAAAATATACATGAAATCGTTGTATGTATAGAGCTAGATCATGAAGTGCAGAAGCTCGCATTTTCATATACTGCTCCAGGGATGGGATGGTGGTCGGGATGAATTTCGAGTTAGACCGAAGAATTTCGTCACTTATTTGTAATGCAGCTTGTTCAAGCTCAGCGGGAGCAGAGCGAAGCTCATCATAACCAACAAATTCAAGAGGGTTCGATTTCATGCTACCGTAAAATACGATCTGCTCGAGTCGCGATTTAGCGGTAATCTTTGCCCCATCGGCAATATTGGAGGGCGGCCTGGGCAGAGCAGATACCCGAATGACGCCAAAGTTGCGAATCATGA